TATATATATATATATATATATTCGGTGTCGGACAGCGTAACAGTTGTTGCTCGTGGAAACTGGGCATGTCTCATCTCTTGTTCACTCAATGTTTGTTGGACCCGCACATGATACCAATGAGAGAACTCATTATCGGATTCCAAATTGGAACGAACGATATTGAAGAATTTTTATGGCGTGCTCGCAGTTTTAAATCCTTGTAGAAACGTCTGGATTAGCTACACCTGAATAGATGCTCTTTATTCCACAAAAAATATGATGCAAATTGCGATGTATTAGCCAGTCGAAAGATCACCGACAGCAAAATTGTTCGATTGTTTTACCATATTTTATGATGTTCACCTTGTACAGCCTTATCAGTTCTTCATGTGTTTGTATTCAATACTGTCGTCAACATATTGTAAACAGATGTTTATATTATTGAAAATTTTTTTCTATTTCGCTTTCGTCTAGCTATCTCCAGCATTCTTGTTCACTCGGGGAGAACGTTTGCCCCCTGGCTCATGTTCTAGACCCCTGTCGGTTGCCTCTGTGCGAGTTTCACGAGACCACTGGTTGTCATCGCGATCCTTGTCCATACATACATGCAACATATCCGCCTAACACGCCTGTTTGTCCTGATTTCCTACGAGGCCGTTGCCCGCGTGGTCGGGCGGTAAGTAATCACATAGATAGGATTATTTAATATTATTATTACCCAGGGTAAAAATTTAGCGATAACATTTGAATCCTCCAACTAAGTACCCCACCGGTTTCTTTTCCATACTAGCAATTGTCAACAATGGTAAAACATATACATACTACTATATAACAGCTCACTCGTGCTTGGCGAACAGCATTTCAACTGTATTCGCGGAGAAAGCTGTGTATTGACCACTGTTCAGCTGTTTCGGTTTCGTCGGTAAGAGCAGAGCTGTATGCTACCGAGCGCGTCTCCAGGTCGCGGATAGAGGAACGGTCGCCAACTGGCGGTTAACTGTGAATAAAGTGGGTTTATTCTCACTGAATAAGCGGTCGCAGACGATCAGCGGCAGTCCTCTAGGATGTGATAGGTTTGCCACTTGGCAAGGGTTCTCCACACAAAACACCGCACGCATCTTATGATAGTCCTGTGACGTGGTGAGTGTGGCTCGTCACGGAATACGGCCATTGCCCCTTGTCGAATTCCATCAACCCGACAAGGTCTTCCAGAGAAGGCGAATGAACCAACAGACCAGTCACCGGCTTATCTGAAACAATACTGCTGTTTTGTGGCTCGCGCTTGGTCGCGTAAAGGCTAGAATGCACCCTCGAACAAAGCCTACTCTGGTCCGGGCGACCGAGTAGTACAACAGCCCACAATGCAAACGATGAACTTCAACTTAATCAGTAATTCGCTCTTTCAGTTCTCGCGCATGAAAAAACGCTTTACACCGTGCACATCTTACTTTTTTCCAACTTTTCCTCCACCTCACATTCATCCCCTCAAACATTACCATAATTATCAAGATCTACAGACAATTTTACTACCAGTTGTGCCTCCGATAGAAATTCCGTCCCTTTTCTCTCGCGTCCTGCCTCAAATAGCGCCCAATTCTCACCGAATCTCCCTTCACCAGTTGAAGCTCTTCTTCGTCCTCGATGCCCATCCAAACTAGCCACGTTTAATGCGCGTACTCTGATGCGTATAGGACAACAGGCGTGTTTAGCTCGTGCCCTCGAGACCCTAGCCATCGATGTGTGTTGCATCCAAGACACTCGCATTCAAGACTCCAAGCTCCATTATCCGATTGAAGTCCCTGTCAAACCCATCAGTGAAGTTTCACTTACGCCTCTCTGGGGACCCCGAGGCTGCGGCTTCCGGTCTTGTTGACGTTGATGTGGCTCTCAGTGAGACAGCTGAAACCGCGCTTCTGGACTGGTTCCCAGTCGACAGTAGGTTGTGCGCAGTGAGACTTAGAGGTTCGCGCAAAGTAAACAGCCGTCGCCCCGATAGACGAAACCTGTTTGTCGTGTAGGCGTACGCCCCAACGGACCGTAGCCCATATACAGTCAAAGATTAATTTTATCATAGCCTACACGACCTCTTAGGTAAAGCGAGTCGGGCTGATATCGTGATTTTAGCAGGAGACGTGAATGCTAGAGTAGACCGACTGACCTCGAGTGAGGCGCATCTGGGTGGTCCTTTCGGACTAGATTCCTGTCGCTCGGAAAATGGGGAACGGTTGTTGGCTCTCTGTTCCGACCACTACCTATTCGTCGCCAGTACGAACTTCAGGCGTTCCAACTGCCGGCACGCCACTTGGCGTCCGCTCTCCTCGAGTCAGATACGGACGCAGATCGACCACATCGCTATAAGCTACAAATGGCGGGGTTGTATACAAGACTGCCGATCGTATTGGAGCACCCCCCTCGAATCCGAATGCGCGTTAGTATTTGCCAAGCCGTTCATTTGTTATGACTCCACAAGACGGTGCTGGTCGAGTATATTCATCTAATGACAATTTCGGTCAGGATATGGTTGAATTATCATTCATGTAACAAAGTATCTCATTTGGAACAAGTTTGCAGAATTCCCGCAAACACGCCGGATATAATATAGTGGCCCACTATCAGATGCGCATCCATGTGTTCACCGTACGAAACCGCAACCGTTTGCTCCAACGGGTCTTGTTCATTTTTGCTCGTTTAAAGAATCTGCTACTCGCATTATTTTGCGTACTAATCAAAAGTGAGTAGTGTCTCACTACACGTGCTTCGATGGGCGTCCTAAAAGTACGACACAGCGGCGTTTAGACTGCGATAAGTTGTCTCAACGAGTATGCTTAGCCGTCTTCCAACATGCGTTAGCTGAAAAGCCAGAACCACCTCCACCTGATGACATCAGTAAGCACTGGTCCCTTATCAAGAAAGCTGTGCATTCTGCTGGCTTAGTTGTGGTCTGACACGTCTTGTCGTGACACCCTGGATTTCTACTGAGTCTCTGCGCCTTTTTGACGCTCGTCGGTCAGTTCCGACCGACAGCGAGCATAGCGTAGCACGTCTTGTAATGGGATGTGAACTTAGCGTAAGCCTACGCAGGTATAGCGAGATCTGGTGGTCTCAAAGCGCATCAGAGATGGAACTTGCTGTTGCCATGGGAAATTCTCGCAAGCTGTTTCATCTCATCCGAGTCACCCGTAGGAAAGCCTTGGGTTTGAGCGAATCGATCTATGAAGCTGACGGCTCGCTTGTTCGCAATCAACAGCGACGTCTTGAACGCTGGGCGGAATACTTCGAAGCACAATTTAGCTGGCCACCTGCGCCAGCTTCTCACAGCTATTCCGGCACACGTCCCATGGTCAGACCCATCTTCTGAAGCGGAAATCCGTGAGAAGATCCAAGCCTTGGGACGTCACAAAGCCCCGGGCTCCGATGGCCTTTTCCCAGGTCTTAGTCCGATCTAGTAGACGGGGGGTCAAACTCCTCTCAGGGAATTGACTTGACTTAGAATATGCCGATGACATCGCCTTGCTGGGTGACAACACACAGGCAGTCCAAGAGGCTTTGAACCGCTTGGCGATAGAGGTAGCCAGGTATGGTATGTGCTTCGCACCTCCCAAGTGCAAAGTACTGGTTCTAGACTGGCAGGAGCCAGTCTGTGCCTGCACTCACCCTCTGTGGTGATCAGCTAGAAGTAGTCGAGAGCTTTAAGTACCTCGGGAGCTTGATCGCAGCTTGTGGTGGTGTTGGGGACGAGATCACATCACGAATGTCGAAAGCTAGAGCAGCTTTCGCCAACCTGCGATACCTGTGGCGCCGCCATGACATCCGACTGTCCCTTAAGGGAAGGGT